CTGAGCTTTGGCAGGGGGTTGTCCATCTGAAGCCCCTGTGCTGTCTCGCTGCTCCGCTCCCTGCGTCCCTGCGATTAAACCAACATCCCCGTGGGCTGCACTCCCGAACGCTCAGCCTGGTCTCGGCACACGGGGACGCTTTATAATCCCTGCAGCCTTTTCACGTGACGTCAGTATTTTACAGGGAGCTGGCGTGTCTTTGCAATGTTTTATGTAACTCTGCATAAATAGAGTTAGTGTCTAGGAGCAGTGATGGCTTACCTGCTGGGGCAGAGGCTTGTGGAGGGAAGTACAGGCAGGACAGTGCTCTTCTAGCCCACAGTTACAAGGGCACCGGGAGCATCCCACATGCAAACTGCAAGTATTTAGTCAGGTTACACACAGGAGGTGCTTACACATGGGAAGAGGTGGGGTGTAGAGGAGGGTGGGAGAATGATTCTAGCCATGGGCAGAGTTTGGTTTTGAATTAGTGCAGGTAGCATCTCTGCTGTGCTGATGCCGATTTTGTAGTCTGCCTGTGGGTTTAAGGTCACAGGCAATGTCAAAGCAAGAATTTGGGCTGCGGTCTGGGCTGCAGCCACCCTGGGTGTAATGCAGTTGTGTTCCTGGTGTTCTCTGGCTAAAAATCTGCATGTTGACAGTTTATTTCTCAGGCGTATTTTTATTTTGGGATATTTTTTCCCCCCTCCCCATGACTGTCAGTGTTTTAGAGGCTACTTTGCTGATGCTGGTGTCAGCGCTTTGTATTTTGATGCTGTTTTCCTCTGGATGCTGAAGGCTGATGTGAAGGTTTTATTCTTTCAGCATGGCCCCCCGGCACCCCGTACCCCAGTTAATAAAGGCAGAGCTGATAGCGCTGGGTGGTAACGCTACAGCCAGGAGCAGGAGGCTGGGAAGTGCGGTGGGATCCGACCACAGCAATAAGAACTCCTGCCTGCTTTTATCAGGAGGACTGGAGTTTGCATTCTGTCCTCCTCCTCCCTCTCCTCCTCCTCCTCTTGTTTCAGTCTCTTCACTAAAGCAAAGCAAGAAACTGTTAGGGGGTGGGGAGACTCTGTTTCCCTGTTGTGAGGGGTTTAGCTCTAAGAAGAACTGAAGTCCCACTGAGATAAGAGCAGGATGAGAATTGGGATTTCTGATTTTAATTCCCAGGTTTGTCACCCATTTGCTATCCCTGTCACTGTGAATTGCACTTAAAAACGGTGCAGGTTTTTTATTGAAATCCAGCTGTCCAAAATCTGACCCCTGTAAGGTGCAGCACCCAAGTGTTTCTGAGTGCCATCCTCCTTTCCACTTGTATATATGTATGGTAAAAGCCTAAAATTTGGCAGCCAGATTGAAATGTGGGAGAGACTTCCAAAGCTAGCTAATACCAGTTGGCCTTGGGAAATCACTGCTGTTGGCTTTCAGTCTTCCAGCCTAAATTATTCCATCACAAATTAATTTTGTTGACTGTACTTGTCTCATTAATATTTGGCTCTCTATGCCTCAGTTTACACAGCTGTAATGAGTAGTTATGAGTTTCCTATCTAGGTACAGCTCAGAAATGAGCATCATAGGCATGATTTTGTGCGCTCAGAGTTATTTGCTCATCTTGGAGAGATTCCCCATTCTGCTGGAATCGGTGTTCATGGGACCTCGACCACAGCTGTGTTCCTTGGCGCTGTGCTGGAGGTGGTACCATGAAGGAAGGCTCCCATAGAAAGGGCTTCGCATCGCTTAGAATTTGTTGGTGTTTGCTGTGTGGTGCTGAAGTCTGGAGTCCTCCCAGTCTGGCTGCCCCATCCCCGTTAGATCACACCTTGCGATAAAACCAGTCCCGTGTCGTGGGCGATGAAGGTAGCTCTGCTGCATGAGTGCCTGCTGGGGCAGCCCGGGGCGACGGGACGTCATCCGTGTCCCTGCACCTTGGTGTGCCATGCTCTGAAAATACCAGCGTAGCACTTGCTAGCAGTGTCTGTCCTCGCCCGCTCAGGTCTGTCTCCCTGGCTCCCACGGAGAGCTGGCAACAGCGACGTTGCTCTGCGAGACGGCTGGAGCACTGCTCCTGAGCAGCGCGGCCGAGGTCACTGCCAGGCAGTGCCATGTCCTGGCACCGAAGGACACCATCGCCCTCGTGAATCACAGAGCCCTTTCGTCCCGCCGGGTACCTGCACACAGTGTTTTGGGTGAAGCGGCGATCTCCTCTCCCTCTGACACGCACATCTTCGCTTGGCTTTGACGTGGGGAAGGATTATTGCTATTGCATTGCCTGCAGTCATAGGGTTTGATTTTTTTAGGGGTTTTTTTGCCTTACTCTGTTCTTGGCTCTTTAGTCGGGGGAGGATTACAGTAGCAGTGTAAAATGATAACTGCCTGTGTGGGATGAAGGCTGAATTTTCAAAAATTGTGAAAACAGTCCAGTTTTTGGAGATCTGACTTGGACACTTCCCAGGGTCAGAGCTGGGAGCTTTTGCTTATGCAAAGCAGCAGAAGTGGGTTGTTTCCATTTCTCCCTTTTGCTGCCAGCGGGCCTGTCTTTGTCCGACCATGCCCTGGTGTACCCTAACAGAGGCTAACTGCCCGCAGAGGAGAGCTGCTGTCAGAAGGCTTTAAAGTCGGTCAGACTGGCTCCTGCTTTGTGAGGTTTATCAGCAAAGATTTTCAGTGCCTCCAGTGGGAGGCTATTTTTATTCTATCCAGAGGCTACCTTCTGCTCTGAGGTCTTTATCGCATATTTTTGTGAATAGAGGAACCTGCCTGTTTTAGGACAACCTTAAATATCTTCATCTGAAAAACAAGGTAGCCTTTTATCCAACGTAAATGTTTCTGGCATTTCTGTGACATGTTCAAGATTTCTTTTATTGGTTTTTTTTTTTGCTATATAAGGGGGACCCTGCTGTAGACCTGAGAATATGCTGAGTTTTCTCCCTTGAGAAGGGATGACACCTGATATTTCATTGTTGTACTCTGGTGGGTGCTATGACTGTTGCAGAAAATCCACGTGTTTCATGGCACTGTGTATCCAAGACTGGAAGAGCTCTCGAGATCATATGTTTCATTTTCCTGGCCTACGGCAAGATCAGTCATACCTGTGTCTTTCCTGACTCTGATGCTGGCCTGCACTCTTTTTAAAGACTTCTTCAGCCTTTCCACGCAACGTATTTCAATGCTTCACAGTCCTTACTAGGAAAAGTCTGGTTTCTCTCCACCTTGTATTTAACCTGAATCATCTCTGCTGCAGTTTAAACCTGTCACTTCTTGTCCTGCCTATTTTGCATACAAAGAACGGGTCATTCCTTTTCGCAGCAGTGTTAAATATTTGAAGACTATTCATGTGCTTCTCTCTGCTTTGTGTTAAGTAACTGCTGTTTGTTAAATCTTCCCTTCTTTGTGGTGGATTTAAATCTTCTATATAAACCTTAATTGGCCTGTCTTCTCAACACTATTCTGTAAGTGACGATCCCAGTCATTAACTAATCCACAAACAGTTTAAACCCTTTGATCAGCATTTTATTTATGTGCTTTAATAGAAGCCTTCTATGCCAGCCAAATTGCCTGTTTGTGCCTCGCTGTCTCTGACTTGATGGCCGTGTGCTGGTGTGCGAGCCAAGTACCCGCAAGGTTTTCTGCTGCGCGCGAGCTGCGACTCGCGCCACGGGAAAGAGCGGGGGCTGGGCGTGATGTGAGGCTTGGTGTGGTTTGTGCCTCGGCTCTGTGGGACAGCGTTTGCGACGCGAAGGCTGTGCGTTCAAACGGAACGGGAGCCCAAAGAGTGGCTAACTGATCATGGTCTCTGTCGGCACCCAAAATACACTTTGATGTGCGTAGGAATGTGGAAGTGGACATGTGTTCAGACAGGTGGTGGGCTGTGGAATGTCACTTGGTATTAGGAGCTTCTGATGTGGCTGTGTTTGAATGGTCAGGTCATGTGTGGAGGTCAGCTACAATGCTGTGATTTGGATGTCATTGATGTGTAGGTCTTTGGCTCCAAGGGAAAGTCAAGAAAACTTATGCTTTAGCAGGACATGTGGGGAGGACAGAAGGGAGGTTGTATTCCCTTTCAGTAATTTTCTCTGGATTTCTTTGTTGTAGGTGAGTGTTTTAACCACCTTGGAGCGGCGATTCAACCTCCAGAGTGCTGACGTGGGTGTCATTGCCAGCAGCTTCGAGATTGGCAACCTGGCCCTCATCCTCTTTGTCAGCTACTTCGGAGCCCGAGGACACCGGCCACGCTTGATAGGATGTGGAGGAATAGTCATGGCCTTGGGTGCCCTCCTTTCTGCCTTGCCTGAATTTCTGACCCACCAGTACGAATATGAATCAGGAGAAATACGCTGGGGGGCTGAAGGGAGGGATGTGTGTGCTGCCAACGGGTCCACCAGTGATGAGGGACCAGACCCGGACCTTATCTGCAGGAATAGGACTGCTACCAACATGATGTACTTGCTGCTCATTGGGGCACAGGTCCTCCTGGGCATTGGTGCTACCCCTGTCCAGCCCCTGGGAGTTTCCTACATTGATGACCACGTCAGGCGGAAAGATTCCTCTCTGTACATAGGTAAGGCTCTCTGAACTTCTTCTCACTGAAGGCTTTCCTTGCGGGCTGGCGTCTCGCTCTTCTCTTGCCTGTTTGATGGCAGTGGGAGGAATGCCTTGAGGCCTCTTCTCCATGCCCTGCCGTGCTTGTGAAGGTGACCTGGCAGGGGTTTCTACACCAAGTGATTGTAAGCAGTAGGGAAACACAGTGGTACTTGCTTTTACTGTAGCAATGGTAAAGGTTCACAGCCATGGTGATTATTACTAGATGATTAGGAAGATGCCTACTCCTACTGTGTTTGCACAGATTGCTTTAAATTCTGATATTGGTCGCTTGTGGTTGAGTTTTACCTGAAGAATTTGCGTGGCATGTGTGATGATGATTTTTTTTTTTTCTCCCCACCAAGATACCCCGGTTCACTTCCTGTTCTGAAGCATTTGTCTGTGTCTGAGAGATTACTGCAGTAAAAGGAGACTGAGAGGAGACGCGTGTCTTGTCGCTGCCACCATCCCATTTTAGCAAGGAAGTGCCCATTACGGAGTAGGTGCTGTGACCCAGCATGCTGTGGCAGGACCCCAGTAATGGAATGAGATGCAGGAGCTGGTGAGAGCTATTGTGATGTGGTGAGCCTGAAGCGGAACTCACGGTTCTGGTGATCGTGTTGCAAAATTCTTCCAGATGGTTAAGATATGAAATTTGGCTTCAGTTACCCAGTGAAACATTGCTGTTATTGGGGTAAAGTGCTCTTGGGTTTCATTGTTAGTCTCCTCTCCAGCGAGTTTAAAGAGGATGTTGTGGGTGAAGTTTTTGAAGAACAAACTCACCGGCTTGGCTCATTCTACATTCTGCGGGACCTGTCACTAGATAAATGGCTCCAAAGCAATCAGTCAGTCAGGTGTGTGCTGCCGTTAGTGTAATCGTTCTGCACTTGTTAGCGTAGTTTCTACTAACCAAAACTCTGTGCACTTGTCCCGTCATCCCTGTTTTGTCTTTGACTGTCAGCTGAATGGGTGATCCTACTAATAGTTATTTTTTTCTGCGAAGACGTTTTTATCAAGTTCCCAAGTGTAACGGAACGCAGCTGCGGTCTGGCCATGGACAGCAGAGCTGAACAGTCCTGCTGGCTTTCTGAATGGTGTTGGGTGTCTTGGGACAGCGCAGAGGCCTGTTGGAAAGACTGGCTAGGTAGCATGCTATGGCTCTCCTGGGTGTAGTGCTACTGCACTTAAAGAAGTTCTTCTACATATTCAAAGTGTGTCCGTGTTTTCCTGTAACTGGTTGTAAAATCATAGTATTTCAGAATTTGGCTTTGTCCTTGGATCGTTATTCGGTAAGTGCTTGTGAGGGATCCTCTGGATAAAGCAGGATGATATATAAAAGACAAGATACTGTACAACCTGAAGGTGAATAATGAGACTAAATTCACTGCAGCAACTTTGCCAACACCATAAATGATGAGCTGGAATTAAGAGTGATTCTAAGATTATCTATTAAAAGTAACTATATAGAGAAGCAGCAACTTCTTTCGGTCTGTTCCATGGGCATTTTTTAAGCAATGTTTCATGTCTGAGAACAGGATTGAGGAGGGTGCATGAGAGGAAGATTAGGAAGAGTGATTCTTTTTGTTCCTGAGATACATTCATCTTGTATGCTAAAATAACTTCTTTAAAGTTGGCAGTTCAACTGTAGCTGGGAAAATACTGCCAGAAAATGATTTCTGCTTACTATATACTGCTTCATTATTTTTCCTTCGGACATATGCTTCTAACCATGTTCCTTGCTACATGCAGAGTTTTAAAAAAAAAAACAATCATTTTGAGGTCGTTTACTTTACTGGCTTTAGCTATGAAAATCGTAATCTGAATTTCTACGTATGAATTATGGGTTGCAGAAGAATGCATGTGTATGCACACTCAACCAATCAGCCATACCAACAATGAAGTTTAATATCTGCCCTGTCCCAGCCTATCCATCACAGGTAGGTTTTCAGATATGGGAAGATTAATTCTTAATGTCAACCTGCAGTCAGCTGGGCTAGTAAAAATAAAAGCTAACAGGAAAAAATTATGGAGAAAAAAATCTATTCTGTGAATGAATATAAATGGAGAAGAAGCTGGTGGAAATGTACGTGTCTTCTTAGGTTTGTGAATACTTGAGAGGAAGTCAAATTCCTCAGTTTAAAATGTTGTTTGAGAATTATTTGCTCAGATTTGTCTTTAACTGATTATTTTTGTTGATGTCATCAATGCAGTTTTCAGTGGCCTTAGCAGAAAGCTGGCTGAGCAGCTTACCCACTTCATTCTTCTCTGTTTCGCAGAGGAAATGACTGCGGAGTGTATACTGTCACTGTGCTATATTTATATCCGTTGGCTTTCTCATAATAGCACACTCACTCAGTAGGGGCTGCGCTGTGTGTGACCGGATAAAACGTTTTTGGGTAAGTTCCCTCAGTTTATATTAGGAGCAAAGCTGGCATAGGTTGTTCCCTCAGGAGAGAAACTAATTAATAACAGCAGTAATAGTCTGGCCAAACTTTCCATCGCGGCTGGCTGTGGCTGGGAAGTGATGGGATTGACCAGTCCGTGCTGTCTTCAGTCTATTGCTAACGTCGAGTACGTATGTGCTCCGTCTGGGCTGGTTTGTAGCTGGGGGGAAGAAGCAGTCTCTCACCTGACAGCTAAGTACTAGTGGTTGTTCACCTGCTGCAATAAAAATCCGCTTGTGTCCCAAGGCAGTGAATTAGATAGAAATAACCCGGCGGACTGAGAATTTTTTTCTTCTGAGTTGTGCAAGAGTTCGGTGGGGGAAGTTCTTACAGTATCTGATGGAGCCTCTTTGCAGTGAAGTGACGATACAGGAAGATTCCTCCAACCACAACCTCCCCCAGGCCTTCTTTTTAAAAAACATTTCTTGGTACTAATACGTGTGTGCAGAAGAATGGAGGTGTGATGCCATACGGAATTTAAAGTGAAACTCTGGCTTTAACTGCTGGTGCAAGTTATCGCACCTGTGGAACAGAACACGCTTGTGGCCGTGGAGTCCATCGAATGTGGCTCGCTGTGGTTTCTCTGCGACGACAGGCACGCGGGAGGTGGTGGGCAGCGCGCATCTGTTGTGCATCCTTTGAAGGCAGAGGTTGCTCGGGCTTGTGCTCAGCCAAGGAGGTGGGGTTTCGTAGTTTCCTAATTAGAGAGACAGAGGTGAGATATTACAGGGAGATATCTTTGTGGCATGGGCTGCTGACATGTAGTTTCATGTTTCTTGAGCTCATGGTATATTTTTTGGTGCTTGCGATGTGTTGCTACCAAAGTCAAACAGGTTTTGTTGCTGTAGTAACCAGCCCTAGGAAAGGGGCTGTGTTGTGGTAACCGAGGGCAAATCAAATAAAAAAGGTGCATGCATGGACATACACACCAAAGGATGTTCAAAAGAAAACTCATCTGTGCTGTAACAGAGTTAGAAAGATAGTGGGACCGTGCCTGCTCCTGCTAATGATGGGAAATACATTCTCCTCCATTTCAGCATCCGAGCGCCTGCTCAGCAGAAAGGTAACTTTGGCTATAGCAGCCAAAAGGTGAAAAAATAAAGGAATTTTCTTAGCTGTTAGAAGTTGGGAAGTATCTTCTGTTCTGGTCCTAGTTTGCTTGTTCCTCTCTCTGTTTGGGTCTGCTCTTGTATTTAAGATCTGAACTCCCATTTAGAGATTTCCAATCAAGCAGGTTAATTTTACCTGCGTATTTATTGGCATAAGTAACCTGAGTTGAGGAATTCCTCACTCCTGCAGGCTGTGCAGGGCTCGTTATTGCTGCAGCTTCACTAATGTCAAAGAATTCCCTCAATTTGTTGCATCATTTGTTTTAAAGGAGGAAAAGTATGTTGAAGACTACTTACTACCTTACTGCACGGTTCCTTTCTCTACCCACTAATGACTCACTTGACATTTCCCTCTTTAGTTCATTTTCTGCTAGGTCTTGCTGAGTTCTGTTGAAATCGATGAAGACTTTGACATTAGGAGGGGGATCAGAGGTGTCGTGGAGCTGATACAGGGGGAGAAAAAACCCGAGCTGACAGTGGTTGTATGGATTTAGCTGCCTCTCAGACGAGCAAGAGCATGCAAGTGTTTTCTGGTCACTGGAGTACCCGTGTTGCTCTCAGCAGTGGTTTGCGTGTTCAGTTAGAACCAGTGCAGGGATGTGGTAGATGAATGTTGTTCCCAGTCTCCATACGCGCCCTGTGGGCTTCCTGCAGCATTTAACACTGGCAGATGAAAGCTGTTGTCTAGACCGTGGTTACCTATAGAGCAGAATGAATAGCCTCGGGGAGCCAGGGTTTGGTCTGGGGCAATTAAGGGCTGCATTATATAGAGGAAGTTGCTATTATTCTGTCTCCTGTTGATGGAGGAAATTGATATTGATGTTGGAGGGAGCACTGCCAGGTTGCGTGGCTCATTCAGAAGAACGCTGTGTCGATCTTTAATGTGTCAGAAATTCTCTTTAAGTTTGCTGACGCTCTCTCAGTGTTTAAGTTCATGGATGCACACCCCACATGTTCAGGACCCGCCACTTCAGACTCCTCGCTGGCTTGCAGAAACTGCCGTAATGTGAAGAATGGTTACAATTAAACCGCAGAAGGCGCAAGTTTTGGGTCAAGGAGTAAGTGGTGAGGAGTGATGAGTGCTGCTGAATTACCGGTGGTGGAGGGCTGTGCCTGAGAGTAGTGTGCTCAGGGGAATAGAGCTGTTCTTGGCCTGCTTCATGGCAGGGTGGAGGAACGGAAAAACAGAAAACTTGGGACTGCTGGATGTGTCTGCTTAGCTGCTTTCTTCTGTCTCCTCTGCCAGTCTTCTGTCTGTCCTTCGCTGTGTGTACTTTGGTTTAATATGTCATTGTTCCAGCTGTTACTCATGGTGTAAGAGCAGAACTCGACAGGACAGCATTCTCGTGTCCACATCTGCCCCGACGGGACCAACCCAGTGAGGGGGCTGGGACCCTGCATTGTCACTGCTGACTTCGACCTTTGCA